TTTAAGAGAAGACTACAAATAGTTAATGCTGACAGAATTAAAATATTAGTACTTTGGAGTAGAATGTATGTGTTGTTAGAGGTTTTGATTATGAAATGCATATGTTAAAAATAGTAAAACTTCGGAGTAATTACTTGCATGTTACTTCCTAAATGCGTAATTTATTTCCTAGCCAGCTGCTAAGTTTTGTTATGGAATTGTCTGTTTATGTCTTTGAACTTCCCTAACATACTGCTATGGTGCTTCTGACAGTATAGTTGGTCAGCAGCATTTCTGATATGAAAGGGGGACTCCTCCATCTGTGATAAGCCAAAGTTTCGTCTGCTGCATAAGGCAGCAAAGAAGTGTGGCCCTGTAACAAATGTAAACAATCCAGAGCAGGTTAGGTATTGGGTGGGAGGAAGGAAGGAAGGAATTCATTTTTCTAAGAAAGACTTTAATCCTATTTTTATTTTTTTATTCTTATTTTTATTTATTTTCTTAAATTTTTTATTGAATTTTTGTGTATTTCATACAGAACAATTAATTTATACCCCCTTCCCCACTGCCCTTCCCATAGCCCCCGCCACTGGAATTCATACATTCTGTCATTTGTGTTAAAACCTATCATGTCAAGTTAGTGTCCCCAGATGTTTCTCAGTGCAGGTTCATTCACTGAGTTCTAGTCAGTCTATCTAGAGTCCTTCCCTTAATAAGATCAGCTCTTTCTTGCCCAGGAGTAATCAGTTGCCAATAATTCTTTGAGTAAGATTGGGGCCTGCTGTCCATTTCCACAGTTCTGTGCTAGGTTTTTGTTTGCTTGAATTTGCTTGGGTCCTGTGCATGCTGACACCATTACTTGTAGGTTCATATGGGAAGAATCCCAGGAGCCTGTAGGACTTTTATTTCCACATGATCATGTACCTCCTCTCTGGCTCTTAAGACCTTTCCACCCCCTCTTCCACAATGGTCCCTGAGCCCTGGGTGGGCAGAGGTTAATATAGGAGTCCTGTCCAAGAACCCACACTCTGTAGACTCTTATTCCCTATGTTTTGGCCATTTGTGACATTTTGTGTTCCTGACCCCTCATTGCATAAGGGAGCTTCATTGATGAGAATTGAAAGATGCATCAGTGTTCTCTTCATCCCCTGTCCTGTGTTCCATGAGCCTTAGGTGTAGAGGTTGCATCATAGATGTGCCACTTATATTTGGGCAATTCACAATCTCTGTGTGTGACCAGTTGTGGAACTCTGTAATAATCTGTCTTTTGAAAAAGAAGCTTCTTTGGAAAGCTTTTTAAGGATCCATATTATGTACATAGGAAGAAATTACATTTGTCTAGGGACATGACAGCCTTGGGGTTTTCCTCTAAGCTCTATGACCTCTCCAGGTGTATGTATTTAGCTAGGTTTATAGTACTACAAATGAGTTTCCTTCCATTGAGTGGGCTTTAAGTCCAGTTAGGTAGCTGTTGATGACCCCAAGATAAAAGTGCCACCACTGCAACAATGCCGTTTGTTTAATTCTATTTTTAAACAAGAGAATTAATTTCTTCAAATTACTAAGAGCTTTGTTCTGGTCTATTAGCTAGTACTGATTAAATCAAGTGTGTTTGGCTTTAACTAGAAAGAACTCGGCAATTTATTTGGGCACATCTAGGGTAGGGCTTTAGAGAGCAAATGACAGAGTTAAACACATTATAGAAAATTTTTCTTCTCACTTACTGGAAAGCACACCACATAAGGATAGGGTGTTCATTTTTCCATTTTTTAGTCAAAGAAAAATTGTCTCCATTTTAAAGGCAAAGAGACCTAAATAAGGAACAAGATTTTGGAACCCCAAGTTTCAATATGGATTACAAGACTTTCATCAGAAGGATTTGTAAACTACAAGTTAGAAGAGAGTCTCCACAGATTCAGGCCAGAGTACCAATAGTTTTCAACTGATGAGTTGTATATTAAGAAAAAGGCCCAGGGGCTGGAGAGATGGCTCAGCAGTTCAGAACGAAGTACTTACTGGCAAGATAGAGAAAACTATTTCTAAGCACCTAAATGAAATTTTGTAAAATTTCTGTCCCAGTTCGCTTTTCTGTTGCTGTAAGCACCATGACCAAAAACAGCTTGGGGAAGAAAGGGTTAAATGGCTTATAAACCATAAGCTTACAGCATGATCATTTGCTGATCAGTCTATCTTTGAAGGAAGCCAGGGCGTGAACCTGGAGGCAGGAACTAAAGCAGAGACCATGGAGGAATGCTGCTCACTGGCTTGCTTCTGCTGACTTGCTCAGCTAGCTCTCTTACAGCCCAAGCCCACCTGCCCAGGGGTGGTACTGCCCACTGTGGGTTGTACCCTCCTACATCAGTTAATAGTCAAGAAAATGCCCCCAAAGACATGCCCACAGGCCAATCTAGTGGAGGAAATTCTTCAGTTGAGTTCCTTCTTCCCAAGTGTCTCCAGTTTGTTTCTAGTTGACAAAAACCAACCTGCACACTATCTTCTGAGTATTGCTAAGCTGAAATCACTCATTTGTGTGTTACCAGCAGCAACACTGGGCTTGGCCTCTTCTGCAGCAGAAGGAAATGGGTAGACCAGCTACCCATAATCAAAACTGAGGAGACTGATGAGTTGTATATTAAGAAAAAGGCCCAGGGGCTGGAGAGATGGCTCAGCAGTTCAGAGAGCTTACTGCACTTGCAGAAGACCCAGCTTTGGTTCCTGGCACCCACATGGCAGTTAGCCATCTGTAACTCTAGTTCCAGGGATCCAGTGTCCTCTTCTGGCCTTCATGGGCATTGCACACATGTGGTATACCTACATCCAGGTAGACAAAACACTCATACACATACAATAATTTTTAAAAGGAAAAAGGTCCAGATATTCAGGAAAGACCTTCTGTTGTTGATGCTTTATTTATTGGTGCTAAATAGTGTTGAACATCAATAAAAAGTTCGGGATTTCCAGTTCTTTCCTGTATGTTTATGTGAATCACTAGAAAAAGAAATTCTATAGTAGAAAAACCACTGGGTATAAGGTACCTCAACATACTGACCAACTAAATGCAGGACAGGCACAAAAAAAGAACAGCTTAAAATTGATAAAGCTGAACTTCATTGAAGAGTTAGAGGTAAGGGGAGAATGCTTTTAGAATGAGGAAAATGCCCCCAAAGACATGCCCACAGGCCAATGGAGTAAGAGGTACTTAAACCATTATAGCAAAAGTAATGAGAAACAGGAGCTTGATCATATTGAAAATACAGCAAGAAAGGCAGAAAAAGAAAATTCCAGGGGAAGTCATTCAATATGAAAATTACTTTTACCTAACCTAACCTTGTAATCTTGTAGCCAAAGTTAATCTTAGGGTTTTTGCTTTTTGTTGTTGTTGTCATTGTTGTGGGGGGTGTTTTGTTTTGGGGTTGTTTTTGTTTTTGTTTTTTTGGTCTTTTTTTGAGATGAGGTCTCCCTATAAGCCCCAGCTGGCTTGGAACTCACTCTGTAGACCAGGCTGTCCAAGTAGAGCAAACACATGTAGCTTTAATCCATTATGACCCTTCTTTGCCCTTCACCCAGAGTAGAGAGAGAGGTGGGGGGGTGTGTGAAACTATCAAGTGCTGCAAGCAGTGAATATCCTTTGAAAGCACTGAATTATCCCATTTGTGTCGTAAATGACAGGTCTATTAGATTGATAACATCTGCTTGTGGTTGTATGTGATTCTTTGGGTCAGTAGGAGTCAGAAAGGGAAAATTCCCTGATAAGACAAAGTCTGCTTTTCCATCCCCATTTCATGCTGGCTATATGTTTTGAGTAGAAACCATGACCTTTGTTCAAGAGCACAGTTCTGGGAGAAGTCTGAAGGAACAAGTTCTCAGAAGAGATGGATGTTAAGAGTCAGTCTGTTTTAGTTCAGGTGTTGCTGTAATGTGGTGTTGCACAACCATGAATGTTCTGGGGAAAGTGTAGTGAGTTTCAGGATAAACTCAGAATTGTGACTCAAAGGCAAGGGAAGAGATACAAGAGAAGAATTTGTATTAGAAAAAACATGGCATGAAGATCCGATAGTACAAAGTACCTTTCCCTCAGCTGAGAATATCTTAGTGTACTAACAAAGAAAAAACTTATAGAAAAAGAAAATGCTCCCTGACTTGTGTGCTTGGATTGGAAAAGGAAAATAATACTGCTTCAAAATGATTATGCTGCGTTAAAGAAGACAGATTTTTCTTTACAATTCCATGTATGTAAATCTTTGAAATAGAAGATCATTGATTGCTAGGTCCTCTACAGGGAAAATGTGTTAGTTGGCTTTCTGCTACTGTAACAAATACCTGAAGATAATCAGCTTATAAAGAGAAAAAGGTTATTTTGGCTCACAGTTTTGGAAGCTTCAGTCCCTGATCAATTGTGTGTGTTAATTTTGGACTTGTGAAGTAGCGTATCATGGCAAGGATCAAGTGAAGAAGCAGAGGTGCTCACCTCATGGCTAAAAGTGAAAAGACCCAGTCAACCAAGAGAACTCTCCCCAGGCCCACTTCTACAAGTTTCCACTACCTGCTCTAGTGCAAGCTGGCAATACAGCCTTTAGCACATAGGCCTCTGGGGGACATTCTAAAATCTACTAGTAGGACTAGGGTATGAATAAAAGATCACAGAGGGTGTAAAGAAATGTGGGCATGATGGATCTGCTTTTTATCTTAAGGAGATGGTTTCCCAGACATTTACACGTCATAGATTACTGTTTTGCATACAACAAATATAAGTAATTTGTTAATTATGCATTGGGAAAGGGTTTTTTTTAATCCTACATTTGGAAACAATGAAAATAAAATAGCTTCATCTCACAGTTATTCTAAGAAAAGAGGAACAAATGCACATAACTTGCTTGTAGCTCTTTCTCAGCTCAAACTGTCTTTACTGAGGTATCTGGTATTCTAAGGTGTTTCTGGGTTTTTGAGGTATATTGGTAAGATCTATGTGATTGAATATTGCTCTTGTTCTGTAAACCAAACTGTGCTATTTTGTATTTCAGGACTAATGAACCAAGCAAGCAAACATGAAAGATGGATAAATGCTGCTGCCCCCAAAAGCACTGTAAATTTTAGACATCAAAGCTGGTTTCAGTCCCTGAACCTGCAAGAGTAAGAATGGCTTCCATTGTATTGATGATTTTAACAGTGACTTGTCGATCTGTGACTATAAAAATGTTTATTTCAGCGTTCATGTAAATGTTAAAACAACAGCTTTGAGAATCAATACTGGTGAATTATTTCTGGGGGCTTTTTTCAAGATGTGTACTTAACTATTATATTCATTTTGCATTGATCTGTTATAAGTTACAGAAGTCCCCAAGATATGTCTGAAGACCTCCAGTGGATGCCTAAAACCACAGACAGTATCAGCTCCTCTATACACAAATTTAATGCCTTTCCATCTTTTCTAAATTTATTTTATTTTTTTAATATTTCATTTATTATTTTTTATGTGTATGCGTGTATTGCTTGTATGTAGGTATGTGCACCCATGTCATGCAATGCCCATGGCAGACAGGGGAGGCTGTCAGATTCCCTGGAACTGGAGTTACAGACAGTTGTTAGCTGCCATGTAGGTGCTGGGATTCGAACCCGGGTCTTCTGCAAGAACAGTCAGTGTTCTTAAGTGCTGAGCCATCTCTCCAGCCCCTTTTAATTTTATTTTTAATGTGTATGAGTGTATTGACTGCATGTAAGTCCATGTCATGCAATACCCATAGAGGTCAGAAGAGGGCGCTGGATCCCCTGGAACTGGAGTTACAGATGGTTGTTAGCGGCTATGTGGGCTCTGGGAATCAAACCCTGTCCTCTGCAAGAGCAGTCAGTGCTCTTAACCTCTGGGCCATCTCTTCAGCCCGCCTTTTCCATCTTGACTAAGCAGTTAGGCACTGTGGCCTTATACACTGTGGCTATAACTTTCAAATTTTAGTTGCAAATAACAAAAGTAGCACACTTTTCTTTCTCCTTCTTCACAGTTTCTCACACAACACATTCATCCTGATTGTGTATCCTAGCAGCCTCAGCATATAAATTTTTGGTTACCTTACTAAGTTGATAACCTTTACCTTTTCACATAAAGCACTTTGTGGTTTCTCTTTGTCATGCTTCAGTTATCAATATCACTATGATTGCGCTTTGGAGCCATTGCTAAGAGAAAGGCTTCTTGAACATTATAATCCTAGTATGACAGTCAGGTGACCAAGATGGCTACTGAGTGACTGACTCAGTATTCCACTGCTGCACTTTCTTTCTACTTTCTTATTTGTGAAGAAAAAAGTCAACTTTGTGGGATATCTCAATGTCTTCTTAAAATTTACTCTTCATGAAATTAGAATTTATACAAGACTGAAAGAGTTTCACAGCTGGGATATTTGATGTGGTATGGTATCCATGTGTTAAGCTATTAAGCAGAGGAAACTGAGATAATGAGGCCATTTTATATTTTTTTTATTCTCATGCAATTACAAAAATATTTTCACGAGTAAAAATAAAGTTGATAAAACTAGCTAACAACAGCCATGAAAGGTCATGAGTATAATCCAGACAACTACATTTAAAATTATTAGTGGAATTGCGCATGTGCCCTTCCTGCATTGCTCACTTTTCCAGTTTCTGTAGCTCTAAAGTTTATCTTCAGATAAACTTAAGATTGGGCCTCCCAATCTTATTTTTTAAACGTTCTTAAGAATTTGGAGCAAGCTTTGGCCATAAAACAACCTGCTGGGTTTCTAGACAGTGTGATGGGTATGTTTCCTTTGCCTGGTCTTTCCCATGCAGATGTTGATCCTTTAGAAGCCAGCTGCCTCTTTTATGTCTTTCTAGTTGTATGCATAAAACACTCAGGGGTCAGACCTCTCAAGTCAACTTTCGTGCAGCTGCCACAAATCTACAAAGTTAGTTTAAAATCTCACTCTTGTAGTCATTTTATATTTTTTGGCTAAGATCTTAAAATGTCCTACTCAACAGATTTCATTGTTGTCTACTCCCTTTAACCTTTCCAAAAAGTGGGAGAACATTCTAAAAGGGATTTATGTGATACAGATACTCTATACTTTGTAGAGGCCCTTTCAAACTTTTTATTCTTTATTTCAAATGTGTATCACCATAATAAATAAAAATGGGTATTAATCCCATTTAAGAGATAAGTAATTGAGAAAATAGGGAAAAGACAACACTGATATAGTGATAGATCTTACGTGTGGCAGTCAAAACAGAACTGTGCTTTCAGCTGGACTCTATCAACATCAGATCCTATAATATCAAATAATGGCAAAAATCTGTGAATGAAAGTATATTAAAATTAATGTCTAAATATAAAGTTATTGTTAAATTGAAAAAGTCTTTTTTGGTGTGTCATAGTTTTAATTCCTGTATAGTGCAAATTTGATTTGCAAGATCTAAGACATTACAGGAACACCCTTTCTGGTCACAAGCAGTTCTTGTTTCTCCTTAATTTGCTCATGTTGTGTCGATATAAGATTGATATTAGCTCTCTTTTGTTGTTAAATGTCTGGAAGTTATAAGAAAGCTTCCTTTTTCCTTTGAAAATGTATATCTGGTCATTTATAATAAAGCTTTGCAGATTCTTAAAGTCATCGCCTTGGCTCAGGCACTGGCTCTGTTGTACATGACTGTCCCTGTTTTCTTTTCTGGAAAGCTTTTTCTCTTTTTCTTATTTAAAAAAAAAAAAAAAAAAAGAACTCTCAGGTTTTTTTCTACATTGTTGAACCCTTAGCTCTGATTTATTTAAAAAAAAAAAAAAAAAAAAGGACTCTCAGGTTGTTTTCTACATTGCTGTAACCTTAGATCTGATCATCTCATCAAACCTTGGTTTATTTGGGGCTGGAGCAGTGGCTCAGAGGTTCAGAGGGCTTCCTGCACTTGTAGAAGACCCAGCTTTGGTTCCTAGCACCCACATGGCAGCTCACAACCTCTGTAACTCCAGTTCCAAGGAATCTGATGCCCTTTTCTGGCCTCTGCAGGCTCCTGCATGTACATAGCGCACATATGCTCATGCAGACACACACATACACATAAAAATAAATAAATATATCTATAAAAAATAAAACCCAGGGTACCTTTGGGATGCTAATTAGACAAAGAAGACATCTGCCGTTGAAATGAGAATCAGAAGGTATACTGCTTTTTTACATTGTTATTGAGACCCGGAAACTAACACTAGTTACATCAAATGAAGAAAAGTTGCCAGTTCTAGATTTTTTTGTTTTTCCTGTTTGTGGCTGGGGGCTGGGCTTTCCTCTTCATTGCTGGCTGACTCTTTGATTGTCAGTTCTGAGGTATTTTTAAGTTGTATTTTACTCTGAGTCTCTGTAAGAAGATTGCCTTCAGAATCATAGCCAAACCACTGTGGAGGGTTGTCAGAGCTGTACTCCTGCTGCTGAACTACTGACGACATTCTGTGAGCTGCTGCCCTGTAATAAGAAAGCTTATCATTAGCGAGTTCCGGAAGTAATCCCTAGCACAGCAAATATGGAGTTGAAAGCAATATGGCAAGCTGAATTCTGCAGTGTTACCAAGCCAGGAAACAGCCTGATTCTTAGCAGTTAAGGCCAAGAGTAGACTCAGACTCTGAGAACCACTTGTTCCTTCTGATGTCTCTTGGAATTGGCTCTGGAGACAATCTTCAATCATACTTTTAGTGAAGCAATATTTCCAACATCACTTGGGGAAGTAAATCTACCCTTATCAAAGAATCTTGCCCTTTAATCCCAAATCTAGAATACTTCAGGGACTTCTCAATTATTCTCATTGTTGACAATGAGAACACACTGCTCCTAACACTTTGATGTATGCTTACATTATTAAGAATAACCTTTTTGGTTTCGAGGTTAAGTAAAAGTCTTTAGGTTAGATTGTGTCCATATTGTAAAAGTCATTCCTATTAGAATTCTATTCCAAGCTCTGTCTTCTTGCTGTGGAGAGTTTGGAAACTGCTATTAATCAGGCTTCAGGGCTGAAAGCCAATTCAAGACTTAGGAGACACAGTGAGTGGGTGAAGAAACTGCACAGCCATGAAGTAGGAACACTAAAGCCACTCTTTACAGAGCTAATAGCTGACCATCCAACTTCTGAAGGCTGACCATACTCCAGAAAGTAGCTCTTCAGCAGAGTTCACAGATCCCTGTTAGACTTCAGGAAGGTCCATGAATTTTCTAGAAATCCAAGTAGTTTTGCCTCCAGTATGTATTTTTCTGAGAAGGTTGTGATTCAAAGAGGTCCAGGTCCAAATGATTAAAAATAATGTTAAAGTCTTAGGCAAAAATAAGGAGGTAAAAGATACACACACCCACACACAGAGTACTCACATCTTCTCTGATGAACAGACATGCAAAAGTTCTCAACAGAATACTTGAGGTCAAATTCAGCACCACATTAAAAAGATCATAGATGCTGATCAAGTTGGCTCCATTCCAAGAAGTATGGTTCAGCATATGTAAGCTAATAAAAGTAATACATTACATAATGAAACGCAGAAACAAATCACATGATCGTTTCAATTGCTGCAGAAATGGCCTTTGACAAAGTTCAATATCTGTTCATGATAAAAGGTTGAAAAGCCCTAAGGACAGAAGCAGCACACCTCCACATAAGGATTATACATGAAAAACCTAAATGAGAAAAAAATGAAAGCATTTCCTCTAAAGTGAGGAAGGAGATGAGAGTGCTTACTGTCCTCACTGCTACTGAGTATAGTGTTTGAATTTTTAGCCCAAAGCAATAAAGCAAGAGAAAGAAATGAAAGGAATACAAAGAGGGGAGGAAGAATTCAAATTATCTGTTTGAGGACAGTGTCATCACTGAGACCCTAAAGACTCCTCCAGAAACCTCTTAAATCTAATACACTTTCAGTAAAACAGCAGATTACAAAAAGCAACACATAAAAATCAGCTTTTTTTATATACTGAGGACATTCTAAGAAATAAATCAGGGAAATAATCCAATAATCCCATTCATGATAGCTGAAAACAAACCAAAGCAAAAAAAAACCCCAACAAATAAACCTAACCAAGTAGGTGGAAGATGTCTACAAAGAAAACTTTAAAAGAGTCAAGAAAGAAATTGAAGAAACACTAAAAGATGGAAAGACACTCCCCCCCATGCTCATAGATTGGCATGATTAGTATTGTGAAAAAAGTGACAGTAATGAAAGCAATCTACAGGTTCAGTGCAATTCCCATCAAAATTCCAGTGATATCCTTCACAAAAAATAGAATAAATCCAAAAATTCACTGGGAAAGGACAAAAAAACCCTGAGCAGAAAGAACAATTCTGGAAGTGTTACAGTACCTGATTTCAAATTATACCATAGGAAAACAAACAAAAATCAACAGCATGGTACTGACACAGAAGCAGGCACATCGATCAGTGAAACAGAGGACTCGGGAATAAACCTAGGCAGCTACAGCCATCCTGATGTTATCAAAGGTGCCAAAAGCACACATTGCAGAAAAGATAGCATCTTCAACAAATGGTGTGGAGGAAACTGGTTATCCAGGTGTAGGAGATTGAAATTAGGTCCTTATTTCTCGCCCAGTAAAAAAAGCAATTCAAATGATTAAAGACCTTAATGTAAAACCTGAAACTTGGAAACAGCTAGAGGAATTGGGGAAAATGCTTCAAGTTACAGCCATAGGCAAGGACTTTCTGAAAAGAAATCCAACAGCCAGGACATAATAAAAAGAAACTGACAACTGGGATTGTATGAAATTAAAAGACTGCTACACAGCAGAAGAAATGACCCAGCCCACAGAATGGAAAAACCTTTGTCAGCGGTTTAACAAGGAAATAATACCCAGAACCTACAAAGAGCTCAGACTATTAAACACCAAAAGAACAAATAATCTAATCAGTAAATGGGCAAATGGATTGAATAGGCAGTTCTCAAAAGAAGTACAAACAGCCAATAAATACTTCCAAATATTCAACATCCTTAGCCAAAGGAGATGCAGATCAAAACTACATTGAGATTCCATCTCACCCCAGTCAGAATGGCTGTCACCATGAAAACTAAAACAAATGCTAGCAAAAGCTGGGGCCAGAGACCCTTATGCACTGTTGATGGGAATGTTAGTTCAGCCACTGTAGAAATCACTATGGAAGTTCCTCAAAGAACTACAAATAGAACTCCCATATGATCCAGCTATACAACTTGAGTATATAACTCAAAGAATCAAAGTCAGCATACAACAATACTTGAATACTCCCATTCGTTGTGGTGCTTTTCACAATAGGCAAGGTCCCAGCAGAGACAGGAGGATCTCTGTGAGATGGAAGCCAGGTTGGACTCCATAGTGAGTTCTAGGCCAGCTGAGGCTACAAGGAGACTCTGTCTCTGTTGGGGAACCCTGCTGTTAGGGTTTCTCCATGTCCGGATAGCCTAAGGGGCTCGGCGTTTGATGGAGAGACTCCCCTTTTCAGCGGGGCACCTCCTGCTCTCTTCCTGGCTCACCTTGAAGTGGCCGCCACAGATGCCTTACCTGAAACATGACCTCTGGCATAGAAACTACCAGGTTTTTTCTATATAATAATCATGTCTGACAGCCTGAAAGATAGAAGCCCACCGCCACATGTAAATAAAGCATACTACAGAGCACCTATCAGCTGAGGCTTTTGCTACTGCCTCCACACTATAAATCTTCTAGTTTTCCCCCTAATAAATTGGAGCTGTATCACTGAATCTGACTGGGCTGTTTTCACTGTGTCTGGAGCTGAGTTGTGTTTCACTGCGCCTGGGACCAGCCTGTGAGCAGTCTTCCCGGAGGAAATCCATCAACACCCACTCAAACGATTCTGCGTTTGCCATTCCTGCACTTCCCCGCCCTCGTGGCTCGGTGGCCAATGACCCACGAGCTGAGGGGAGCCCCCCGCAGCTAGCCCAAGCCTCCCGCAGCTTGGTGCAGAGCCCCCTGCAGCTTGGCGCGGAACCCGCCCGGCAGCTTGCAGCCGCCTGCAGAGCCTGCACTCGCCAGCGGCGCGGACCCACTGATCTGTCACCGCCAGCGCCCGGCAGCCATGGAGGAAGAGAGAACAGAGACCCGCCCACCCCAGCCAGCATGTCTCACAAAACAAAAGAATAAAATTTTAAAATATTTAAAAAGAAAGATAGTTTTAGGGGCCAGAGAGTTTAAAAAGAGGTTAAGAAGCTGAAGAGGCCAGGGTTTAAGGGTATTTGCTGTTCTTCCAAAAGCCCAGGATTTGATTCCCAAAACCCACATGATGGCTCTGTCACCTTCATCCAGCCATTGTAGGTAACTACACACATCCCAGTAAAAATACCAGCAATCAAAACACTTGTACAAATAAAAACAATAAATCATTGAATAAAAAGAAAATAGCTTAGGTAGGTGTGGTAGCACAAGCCTATAATCATAGTACTAAAGAGGTGGAGGCAGAAGGATCACGAATTTAAGGCCAACCTGGGCTACTTAATGAGTTTGAGGCAGCCTGAGCTAATAAGTTCAGGTAAGGCAATGAAATTGTGAGAAGCAGAGTTATATTTAAAATGAAATAAAAAGAAGAGGAGGGAGAATGAGAGGGAAAGGGGGGAAGAGGAAGAAGAGGAGGGAGGGAAAAGGGAGGAAAGAGGAGGAGAGCTATTTAAGGGCATGCTACGCTGTTCCATTTCTTTGTACCTGAAATCTCTCAAACAAGCAATTCTAGCAGTTCACATCAAGAGTGGAAGTCCTTTCACTTGGCTTCTGCTTATTTGCTGGTCTAGAAGAGGTATTCTCAAGTTCCAGTTTCCAGTGTCCTCCTGCCCCCCTGCCTCTCTGGTGCACAGCAGTGTTGGGGTGTTTATAATGTGCTAAGGCTGCTGACATTGACTGTGATACAGGAGTACTACAGGTGGAAACAGCAGTGGCCTTGACCAGTGTGAAAGGAAATGCCTGTTCAGAGAGTAAAGGATTTCAAGTTGACCAAATTATATGTTACCTTTGGTTTCAGAAAAGCAACAATTGAGAAGCATTGTGGATAGTTGCTATGAGGTTGAGTACTCTCATTGCTAGGTTTGGGAATGTGTAAATACTGGGTTGTACAGCTCAATCAGCTACAAGCCAGGGTAAATTCAGTGATCATTATGATTCCTTTTAAGTTTTAGATTCCAAAAAAACTGAGAGTAAAAGCAATTAGTAAGTAGTAGAAGACTGAGAATCATAAGGAAAGAGAAGCTGATGCTGCTGAGAGTATAGACAAGGGAGATGGGGTGGATAGGGTCTACTGGAGGCAGCATAGGGGACAGAGTCACAGTGTGCTTGCTGTGTGTTTATCCACAGCCATGGGAGGTGCACAGTGGTGCGTGTGTTTCTATGTTTACTCACCTCTTGGCTTCCTGCCTCCCTTACCCTAGCTCTTTGTGGCAAGCACTGGTTGCCATTCTGCCCATAGGCAGTTTCATTGAAATTAAACATTAGTGGGTCCCTGAGCATCAGCAGCAAGGCTTCCAGAGTGGAGGGAAGCAAAGCACTAGATCTCAGGCCCAACCACTCCCTAGCCTCAAGTGCCAAGGTACCAGAGCATCCTCCAGCCTACTGGCCTACTGTATCGAAAGACTTCTTTGAGTTCTGGGTCTGTCATATACCAGGGTGATCCGGGGGGAAACAGAAAATCTGAATCTATCTTATAGCAACTCTGGGACCAGTTTTAAAGGACTTTAAATGCTAATGTAGACTATCTCCTACTCCACTTCTTGCCTACCGTCAGAAAATCCTTAGCCTGTGAGCTAGCTATCTGCCACCCTATCGGGACCTTTTGCAGCCTTACAGTGACTGGGTCTCCTATGATTCAGGACTTTGCCAAGATAACAGACCAGCAGGTTAATGCCAACAAAGTTTTCTGAATTATTTATCATGGCATCCTTCCAAGAAAAGTAATGGTAAACTTAAAAATTTAGAAACTGAGGGCTGATGAAATGGCTCAGCCCTCAAAGTTGTCCTCTGACCTCCACACACATCCCATGGCATAAATATGCCTCCCTGTCATACGCACACACACACACACACACACACACACACACACAATAATAGTAATAATAATAATTGTTATTGTTTTTAAAGTTTTTTGAGACTGGAGAGATTGTTCAGCAGTTCAGGTCCTGCACTGTTCTTGCAGAGGACCCAAATTCAGCTCCTAGCACCCACATCGAGCGGCTCACTGCATGTTCTTACCGGAGACAGTTTGTTTCCGCCCCCCTCCTCCTTGTCCTCCTCTTCTCTTACTTTGCACACAGCCTTGAGCCAGAAACCATTTTCTTCCTCAGGCCTCAAGTGGCCAGGGTTACAGTTTAGCTCATGTTATACCACTTCATTAAAAAAGTTCCTCTGTGAAATCTACATGCTTAGACCACATTATATACTTTATACACTGATAATGTTCATTCCTACTATTAATTTTTCCAATGTGCAATGAAGAGCCTGATCTTTAGAAAGTAGCTGAGGATTCTCAGTTTGAACATTTTACTGGGTCCTCCGCCCTGTCCGTTAAAATGCTTGCACATTTTCACTCTCAGCAAATAGGAAAAACAATTGTGAGCTGATTTAATCAGATTTTTTTTAATCCCTCGGGGAAGTGAACTGAATTTGCTGCATTTTAAGAGAAGAACAGTACAGGAAAAGCCAGACATGAGCTGCAAGGGGCAAGTTAACTGTGGACACCTGCTTAGTCACAACAGGAAGGTGCTTAAATAAGTAAAGGGCTTCTGGGAAAGGAGTATGAAACCACAATGTTGGGTTTAGAAGAGCTCATCCCTTTGTACAACTTTAAATGTTGCTTTAATTAGACAAAATAGAAAGGGAAAGCCTCCATGTAGCAGGAAGGCACGGCCACATGATTTGGTGCCTCAGAAAGCAGTTCTCAAGGCCTTTTCTGACCAGCTGCCTACTTACACGGAGATGGACCTGCAGTATCGCATCTTAAGGATCCGGAGTTGTTTGCAGCCTATCTGAAGGTCTTGAAAGATTTGATCAGTAAGTAGGATACAGCCAGTGATATCCAGAATGTGCAGATAATGGCATTTTGCCGATAACATCTCCAACCCCGTGTCAGTAACCTGAATATATGACCAAAGTAAGTAGTAGTTATTCAACAACTCTGTTCCACAGGAGGACAGTATCTAAATCTGAGTGGCTGAAGCATCAAACACTTATTTCTCATAGTTCTGAAGCCTGTGACATCCACGATCAAGATCAAAGTGGCTGCATACTTGGTGAGGTGCTTTCTTCCTGTTTTCAGAAGTCTGCCTCTTGCCATAGTCTCACATGAAAGGAGAGCCCCAGCCTCTTCTTACACAGCCAACCCCAGAGTTGCGGCTTCACCCTCATGACCTCTTCTCACCTCTTCTGAACCTATTTACCTCCAAAATGCCCTCCTCATGACACTGTTACATGGATAGTTAGGTCCAGGGAAGGTTAGGGAGGTCAACCATTCAGGTCATAACAAACAGATCAAGACCCTGGCAGATTTTGTTTCACTAAGCTTCTGATGGGCCAAGTTTGTGGTTTATTTCCAAATCAAATCCGAATGGTAAAATTGCTGCCTCAAGTAACACCAAGATAATTTGTGATTTGCTGTGAGTTTTACTTACGCATCCTCTGGTTTGGATGAGAAATGTCAAAATTTCTTTAATGATTCCTAAGAGCTAATCATGAAGAACTTAGGAAATGCCACAGTGATGGATCTGGTTTAAACTTGAAATTAAACTTGAAAAGTGTCACCAGCTTGGAAACATGCACACAAAATATATATCCCCTGAAGTTAATCTGCAAACAGGATCAGATTACAGTGAGGTCTGGCCACTCTGATATGCTGTATGTGAGGATGAGTGGTCTGGATCTGGAAGGGGGGGCAGAAAGTGTGAGGCAGGGGAGGAAGGAAGGCAGAAGCCACAGAGGCAGTGCATGTCCCTCTCTGATAAGTTCTGGCCAGCGCTCCCGATGTTCTGCAGAGGTGATTCCACTCCATTTCTAGTTTATTTCACTAACTCAGGGTCTTCCTTTTGAATTTAAGCTGAGCTGAAATGCTGCAGAATAAACTAGATTACTCTCCCCAAAGGAATTTTTTCCAACTGTATTTAATTTCCTACTTTATATACAAACATTAAAATATATACCATAAGGCTCAGCTGGTTGGTTTTTAACATGTGGTTAAGAGAATCATGCAGAAAAGCCCTTTGGTTTGAAATGACACGTTTTAAGTTTGGGGAAAACAGATGCTGTCATTGTCTAAGCATTCCCTGTTTCCAGAACATGCTTGAAACTGAGGTTCAGCATTGGAACTGATTCTCACAAAAATTCTGCAAACATTTCTGCCATGCTCCATGGATCTGATTGATGTCATTGAAAAAAGGATTCCCTCAGCATTGTGGGAAGGAAGGTCAATGAGATAATGGGACAGTCCAGGCAGATAGAGCTCAGAGTGGGAGGGTTTGCTTGACTGGGGGACACCTGGAAAGGAGCCCTGCATCTGTAGAATAGGGAGGTGATGTCTGGGGAATTTATGATTCCAGGGCTGGGAATTGGGGACAGAGAGGATTTGGCTGCATTCCCAACTCTTAGGTCCTGCCCCAGCCCACTAGGCAAATTGCTATTCCCAACATGACTCCCTTTGAGACTTTGGAAAAATCTTTTGGGTTATTTTTAAATGAAGTTATTTCATAGTTTAGAAGCAATGCAAGCACATTATTTAAAAATGAGTAAAAACTAGCAAAAGAGAAATAATTAGAAATTTATTACCCTAAAACATAACTACTTTCAACACTCTATAGCATTTTTGACAGGGATGCCATAGTCCCAGCCCACCTGGAATTCACTATGTAGACCAGGCTGGCCTTGATCTCAAAGAAATCTGCCTGCCTATGCTCCCGAGGGCTGGGATAAAAGGCATGTGCACCACATGACATAAATATTTTATTTTTTATTTTATTTTATGTGTATGCATGTATTATTGCCTGCATGTAGGTAAGTGCACCCAGGTCATGCAATGCCCGCAGAGTACAGAAGAGGCTGTCAAATCCCCTGGAACTGCAGTTACAGACAGTTGTTAGCTGCCATGTGGGTAGTGGGATTCTAAGGCTGGTCTTCTGTAAGAACAGCCAATGTTCTTAACTGCTGAGCCATCTCTCCAGCCCCGTTTGGAGAATTTTAAAAAGATACTCAACATGCTAAACAACACAACCATCATCTTCCCCATCGCCCCAGCCCCTGGCCTTCTTAGAATGTGTTACTGGCCTAGAAGCAGCTCAGGGAGCCTGTGGAAGGATACTTGCTCAGCTGAGGACCCCTATACCCAGCTGGGTCTGAGTGAGGCCAGCAGGTGACTGCCGCCCAGGCGCAGCCACTAGCAGAAGTTCAGTGGATACCAGCCCAAACTGCCGACCTGAGGAAATGTGAACAAATACAACAGGAGTTGTCAAGCCATTGCTTTGGGAAATGATTGGTTACATAGCAACAGATGAGTGATACATTAGCCAACATTGCATGTCAGACATCTCATGCTTACTGATATATGGTTTAAAAAAAAAAAAGATCCGTTAATCAGTTCTTTATAGCCCTTATGAAACATGACTGGTATTCTTTATGGCCATGTTGAAACTGAAGAATTTCCAGAAGCAGAAAGAAAAGCATGGTTCAAAAGAGTAGACTGTGCTGGGGAATCCCAGAATTGCAAATTCTCTTCTCCCTTTATGCTGCAGGTCAATGGAACTGGAATCAAGTCACTTCACTAAACAATGAGTCATGTGTTCAGTGTCCTCCCTTTATACCCCATCTGTAAAATGGGACTAATTAAAAATAGGCACCAAAAAGTGTTGTTAACTCCCCTCCCAGTGCTCTCAAAGCCCTGGAAACATTTCTGATAAGCATTATTTAAAAATATTTTATTTATTATTTTTATTTTTTATGTGTATGAGTGTGTTGCCTGCATGTATGTGAG